TCGCTGTCGCCTTCGAGGGCGCCGTCGCCGTAGCCGTAGGTGCCGTCGAAGGCGGCGCAGCAGGCCTCCGCCTCGTCGCACTGGCACCACTGGTCGTTGTTGACGCAGTCGCCCTTGCAGTCGCAGAAGTCGTCGGCGCCGCCGCACTGCACGGAGCCCGACGGAGCCCCCCCTTCCTTCGTCGGAAACGTCGTCGGGCCGATGTAGGAGTAGGAGTAGGACCACGTCGTCGGCCGGGGCGACGGCGCGGGCGTCGGCGAGTAGGACGGCGCGGGCGTGGGGGAGACCGTGGGCTCGGGCGACGGCGCGGGCGTCGGCGAGACCGACGGCGCGGGCGTCGGCGCGTAGGACGGCGCGGGCGTCGGCGAGACCGACGGCTCGGGCGTCGGCGAGTAGGACGGCGCGGGCGTGGGGGAGACCGTGGGCTCGGGCGTCGGCGAGTAGGACGGCGCGGGCGTCGGCGAGACCGACGGCGCGGGCGTCGGGAAGGCCTCGTGGCAGTTGCCGCAGGTCTTGGCGCACCCCTCGTAGGCGTCGTAGGCGTCGACGATCTGGGGCTTCTTCCCCGTCCCCGGCCCGCCCCTGATGTTGCAGAAGTGCGCGGTCGCGGCGAACGAATAATCGTACTCGTCGAGCTTGTCGGCGACCCACGCGCAGCCGTTGCCCGTCGCCTCGTCGTCGAGGTCGTCCATCTTGTCGTTCTTGAACGCCTTGCTCTTGGCGTACTTCTTCGGGTTCCACGCGAGGTCGTCCGCGCACTCGCGCTCGCACAGGTGGCACGCCGCGGGGCACATCTCCCAGGCGGCGTACTCGTCGCCGTCCTTCTGGCCGACGAGGCCGCAGCGGCCCGCGCGGTCCTCGCCGACCCAGGCGCAGGTCTTGTAGCTGTTGAACTTGGCCGCGCCGACGAAGAAGTTCCCGGAGTCTTTGCACTCGGGGCACCGGTCGCACGTCACTTGGCACGCGTCGCGGGCCTCGACGCCGTCCGCGGACTTGAGCTTGCACTGCTTCGTCACCTTCTTGCTCTTGGTAATGCCGTCGAGGAGGTTCGCGCACGTGACCCCCCCCTTTGTTGCCTTCCACGACGTCGAGTCGGCGCACTCGCCGCCGTCGAACGGGTGCAGATGTCGGGT